ACGAAAAGAGAGAGAACAGAAATGAATAGGGAGAGAAGAGTGACGAAGAGCGACAAAGAGAGAGAGAGAGAGAGAGAAAGAGAGAGAGAGAGAGAGGAATAGAGGGAGAAAGGGACGAATAGAGAGAAGAGAAACGAAAAGAGAGAGAACAGAAATGAATAGGGAGAGAAGAGTGACGAAGAGCGTCAAAGAGAGAGAGAGAGAGAGAGAAAGAGAGAGAGAGAGAGAGGAATAGAGGGAGAAAGGGACGAATAGAGAGAAGAGAGACGAAAAGAGAGAGAACAGAAATGAAAAGGGAGAGAGAAGTGACGAAGAGCGTCAGAGAGAGAGAGAGAGAGAGAGAAAGGAACAAATAGAGAGAAGAGAGACGAAAAGAGAGAGAACAGAAATGAATAGGGAGAGAAAAGTGACAAAGAGCGTCAGAGAGAGAGAGAGAGAGAGAGAGAGAGAGAGAGAGAGCGACAGCGAAGCAGTTAATAGAAACTGTGATGGCAGAACGATTTAACTTCGACGAGGAGCCTAGCTTTTGGTCTTCGCGCACCTGGAATAGTAAGACCGATGCAATTGCAGAAGATACCAGTCTCCGACGCCGGATTCCGCATGTTCTGGATAAATATTATCGGTCCCGAGTAGTTGGTGAAGTCACCGGTAGCACAACCAAAGACTCGAATCTCGAACAGTTTTGCAACAGCTGAGACAACGAGGGAGCTTTCAATCGTTTCGTACATCCTTGTTAGGTCATGATCTTGCAATTACCTAGCCCGATTTCTCTTTTCTCGGATATGTTCATCAAACTCTCCAGCATGTGTCTGTTGACAGTCTCGCCAATTATGGAAGCGCACTTCAGCAGGAGCTGGTCCAAAGGTGTTAGGGAATCGAAGAGCTTCAAGATCATAACTAAAGCGACAAATGAAATGTGGAAACTTGTTCGTTCGGTATCTGCCTCGAGGATTCAGCCTTTACCGTCCATTGTGATCTCGGTGTCGACGTCCTCGTACACGAACTTGTCCGAGATTTTGCAAACCGCGATCAAGGTCTCATCGGTCACGATAGCCGACTGCCCCTGCAGAACGTTCCTGGCAATGTTCTCCTCTATCAGTGACATCATGCTGTCCTAATTTAAGACGGTAATTAGCTAATTACCTAATGTGGTAATTAGATTGAAATTGCGTGGCGAAGAATGCAAGGAACACGAACCTTGAAACTGGATCGGTACATCTGCCATCTGTCCTTGCGTTCTGGTTGTTCCATGGTGCTCGCCGATTTCGCGAATCTGTTTCCAGAATTTCATTCGATGAGTGCAACGCATGTAAGTGTTCTACATTCTTTTTTAATGATATAAGAAGTATCGCAAATTCAGGACGGCAAGGAAAATATTTAATAATCTTGCTCGAACGAACCTTTTCAACATGGTCACCGGAGGTATCACGTAGCCCTCCTCTATGGCTTCGTTCTTACTAATTATTACTATTTCCAGGCCTCCGGCTTGCAACAGACTCACCAAGTAGCTCTCAATCCAGCCCGGATTCCCGAAGCTCTTCTCTTGTAAGAGTCTTGAAGCAGTCACAGTCGTCACTAAATATGCACTGAGATCCCATCAAGTTCTAGCAAACTTACTTCTCAAGCTCTGCGGGCAAAGCATTCACATTCAATGTTTGACAAGCGAGGCCCGCGTGAAACCACCTGTCTACTCCGTGAAGTTCTATAATCTTTCAATGAGGAATCAAATAAAAAGGAGTCTACTGGATGTTCCAAAATTATTGTACATGCGGGAAATGAGGGGTTCACGAGGTCATTTCAAGTAACTTTTTCCTTAGGAAAAATTCAATCGGAGACTTCGTTTACGAGTTACTAGCGAAAAACAGTGACCAATGAGAGACGAGATTAGCTAGCGCGAGGCAGCCGAGCCAATGAGCGGAGCTGGGCTTCGATCGCTCGTTGGCTCGGCCGCCTCGCGCCAGCTGATCTTGGCTCTCATTGGTCACCGTTTTTCATCAATAACTCGTAAGCGATGCGTCGGAGAAAATTTTTGTAAAGGAAAAAGTTACTTCAAATGACCTCAGGAACCCCTCATTTCCCGCTTGTACAATAATTTTAGGACACTTTGTATAGCGTTAGATCAATCGAAGACTCTTTCTAGAAAACGCTGCTTGTTCTCTCTCTGAAGAGAGAAGCTCTGAAGCAAATCGATTCGTGTCAGGGTTTTCTATAAGGAATCCGCAAGCAGAAAATAATCGGTTACTTTGGCTTTGCCTAGGATATTCCGATGGATGTGAAATTCGGTCCCCAGTTTCCGGCCAATGCCCAGAACATAGTACACCATGTCCCTCTTCGTCAGAACGTCGAAGAGCTGAAGCGACTCCTGGTCGCTGTATTCGGCGTCGTCGATGATCATCACCCAAAACTCCGTGAAGCAGGCCTTTACCAGTTTCAGCAGGAACTTCCGCAGGATCTTCCACTTCTCTAACTTGGAGAGACTGTTGTACCGTTCCGACATGGGAAAGCGCACGTTGAAGAGCTGATTGAGGGAGCAGAGGAAATAGGTTTGGCGCACCCTGGCCAGTCGTTGGAGTAATTTGTCCTCGCGTTCTTTGCGGGTCGTCGATATGGTCAAGGACAGGCATAGAGAGAATATCAGGTAAATCAGGCTGTACGGGGTCTGCGCCGAGAGATTTGCCGTGTCACACTTTCAAGTGCCGAACATGGAGAAAGAGACTTTACAAGTTTTTGTGGAGGAGGGTTTTCGAGAAGCGACAAATGTCAACCTTGGCGTTAATCGGCCGCAGGGAAACGTAGTTGTTGCGCAGTCCCTCCGGAACATTCTGCATAAATTCGTCGAGCAGCTTCGTCTTACCTATTCTCGGCTCGCCTCTGAAAGAAGTTAGAAATTGACCGCGTAAGTTTCAGTAGGTTGAACGCTTTCGACTTAACGCTGAGGCTCGTAACACATCTACGGGCTAGCAGCATGCTCGATTGAGAGTACATATTCGTTCTAGACGTGCGAGCATGGTGCCAGGCAGCAGGCTAACTTCTTTATTTTTTTATTAATTCTTAATGGGACTTTTCCTAATACGATCGTGAGCTTTTTCTAATTAAAATAAGACTTTACTTTTGTAAGATTATGTTGATTTTTATGAAAAATATAAATATTAATATATATTAATATTAACTTAAATATTAATATATATTAATATTAACTTAATATTATTATAACTCATATTAATATTAACTTAAATATTTTAGGAAAGCAATCTTAATTATACGAAATAGAAGTTAAATAAATGCTTGTTATGCTCGTATAACTGTATTATACTTAGCAAGTTATGATTACGCCTTGAAATTGATGATAGAGCAAGTGTAAAACATTCTTTAAAATGGGACGTCTTGAACGATACAGTTATACTTTTTGAAAAATGTGTTAACACTACGAATTGAAGGCCGAAAAGAATCAGGAAATTCCCTTTCGACCCCATCACAATACAATCAGTTTCTCTGAAAAGCCGTTACTTTCTTCAGAATTTAATATGTTACTTAATTATGACCCACAGATGGTCACCAAAACTCGAGCCACCATCTACCCTTCATAAATTCCTTTTTTTGCATGTTTTCCTGAGTTCTTGCCTGCAACGCTGGAACGAAAGATTGCGCACACTGTCCACATCATACCAGTTCCGTAGTTCTATCTCGCTTTGTTTTGGTTGCGGGCGAAGCAAGTCTGGCTCGGGCCTGCCTGCAAGTGTAAACACGGACGCTGCCGGGTGGTGCATGGCACGCCGCGAGCACGGCGCGCGTAATGCGAATATTCCAATATAAATAAAATGGTAGAATGATTCGGCCTTGAAGCATGATCCAAGGCAGTATGTAGACATGTCACGAGCCTAAACCTGCCACTTTCCGGCCAAGTGATAAATCTTTGCAATAACTGAATAATTTATTATATATATATATAATATAATATATAATATATATTATATATTATATATTATTATTATATTATTATTATAATATATAATATATATTATATATNACGGCGCGCGTAATGCGAATATTCCAATATAAATAAAATGGTAGAATGATTCGGCCTTGAAGCATGATCCAAGGCAGTATGTAGACATGTCACGAGCCTAAACCTGCCACTTTCCGGCCAAGTGATAAATCTTTGCAATAACTGAATAATTTATTATATATATATATAATATAATATATAATATATATTATATATTATATATTATTATTATATTATTATTATAATATATTATATATTATTATTATAATTATTATTATATATATATATAATAACTGAATTAATCTTTCTAATTAAAGATACATCCGCAGAAAACCAATTTTCTCGTATGCGCATGATTACTTTATAATCAGCGTGTTGTATTTAGGTCTCGCGCCTTTGTTCGGCGGCTTAGTAGAGTATTCCAGCAGATTCATCATAATCTTCTGGAACTTCGCTATCTCGGCTTCTCTGCCGAGTAGTGGATACTTGGTCCACACTTGATCCGTCATGCTGTACCTGATCGAACACGGATTAATTGCATAAAGCGATTATTTTTTAATAATCGAAATTTAAACGAGTATTTTTTTTCCGCACGTGGAACTTACTTCGGCTGCTCCTGGAACTCGTATATCGGACCCACGTTCGTGATTCCCTTCAAGTATCTCGGTTCCTGCAGAATGAAGTGCCTGGCCTCGAGATGAGAATGGAGGAAGCTTTCTCGGTCGCAGACCACCTGAAATCGCGCGAATTGGAATCGAATAAATCTTCGTCCTCTCCGGCTTGACGACTCACTTTGTCCTTGTAGGCGACCATGAGCCTCGCAGCCTTGTTCACTGATATCCCGATGACCGTGTATTCCCTCCGGAGGATATGGCCGACGACTCCGCAGTACGTCATTCCCGTGGTCACGCTGACGGTCACAGATTTCACGTTCTCCACGGTCAGGAGGGTGTTGCGCACCTTCGCCGCGCATTTCAGTCCGATCTGGGATTCCAACTCGTGTTTGTCACCACGCAAACCGAACACGCAGAGAAACATCAGGTCCTTATCGAAGAGGGAGGTCTTGTTCACGCATCCGTGCATTCCACCGACGATCCTTGATTTGATCCAAGTGATTTTTATCACAGCCAAAATATTTTCGTCGCAGCTGGAGGAGAAGGGAGTGAGAGCTCGAGAGTTGACACAGGAGACGGTATAATAGTGTGGAAAGTAACGCTATGTCCGACATCGTTATTTATCGTTAAGGCGTACGTTGCCATTGGCTTCGTTTCTGCCGTTCCAAAGATTGCATTTTTTATTTATATTCTTCTTATTTTGAGTTTACGTAAGGACGAAGTGTGCGAACTATTCTATATTATCATTTCGAGATATTATCAAAGACTTATATCATTACTGTCTTGTTTTCTTTTTCTTCTTCAGTGTGTAGTTGACAACTGAATTCCAAACAGATCGCGTGTGACGCTAGATTCTTACATAGACCGAGACCGCCCGAGCCCGCCCGAGGTCGCCCGAGACCGTCCCTGAACCGAGCACAGTCCCGAAACACTCGCGATCTCGAGATCTCGAGCTGTGAAATGTATTGGGAAACTTAACTTAACAGCGAAACTGAGTAAAGAAAAATGTCTCGTAATCCGGAAATGGCGGGTTCCTCAGGCAATTTGAAGCAACTTTTTCCTTTACAAAAATTTTCTCCGAGGCACCGTTAACGAGTTATTAACGAAAAACAGTGACCAATAAGAATCGAGTACGGCTGACGCGAGGCGGCCCAGCCAACCAGCGCACGAAGCCTAGTTCTGCTCATTGGCTCGGCTGCCTCGCGCCAGCTGAGCTGGGATTCGACCGCTCGACCGCTGGCGCCGTTGGCTCGGCCGGCTCGCGTCAGCTGAGCTGGGATTCGACCGCTCGACCGCTGGCGCCGTTGGCTCGGCCGGCTCGCGCCAGCTGAGCTGGGATTCAACCGCTCGACCACTGGCGCCGTTGGCTCGGCCGGCTCACGCCAGCTGAGCTGGGATTCGACCGCTCGACCGCTGGCGCCGTTGGCTCGGCCGGCTCGCGCCAGCTGAGCTCGCCTCTCATTGGTCACTGTTTTTCGTTAATAACTCATTAATGGTGCCTCGGAGAAAATTTTTGTAAAGGAAAAAGTTGCTTCAAATGACCTGAGGAACCGGAGGAGCCACTTTCGGATTGCGAGACATTTTTGGGACACCCTGTAATGGAAACGCGTATTTTAAAAGGATCGGCTCTCGTTCGGTCGACAAAGCTGCGTGGCAAGTCCAAGTCAGTGGCAACAAGCCTTTATGTCACTCGATACCGATGCGTTCGTCGAATAAAGCGTCAATTCTCAAGCTCCCATCTAATGAGCTCACTTGCAAACCAGTTTGTAAGCCGAGTTGACCAAGCTGATCAGCGTCTTCTTGCCTACCGTCGACGTTAGGACGTTGATGAACACGATCACTACCTGTCTCATCTCTGTCAGGTATTCCATAGGCTCGTCCATCTCCACGGATCTGATCACTGGTCTCAGCATGTAGCTTCTCAGGGCGTCTTTCAGACGAGCCTTCGCTATTTTCACAACTTTCGGCCGCACTGAGAAGCGGAACACCACATCGACGACGTTCCCAATGATTCGCGGCATTACTCACGGGTGTAATCGATTTGCCGGAACTGCGCTTCCAAATTGCTGGTCGCAGTGATCATCGCGTCTGCTTCTGACTCTATTGCTGTTGTCGAGATGAACTTCGGGTCGTAGTATTCCGCGCGATCTGTATCCTCTTTTAAACGAACGGTTTAATCGTTAAACCGATGATGTTTCTTACAATCGGCGCTGACAATTTTTGCTTATTATCTTCTTTATTTTATTATCTTATAATAAATCTTATAATATATCTTTATATTTTATTATCTTATAATAAATCTTATAATATATCTTTATATTTTATTATCTTATAATAAATCTTATAATATATCTTTATATTTTATTGTCTTATTTATTATTATAGAGATTGGCTGTCTAGTCGTTAGCGAGGAAGTAAACGCGTTGTTCGATTTGCGACTCACCCTCGGTACTGGACACCGGCTCGTCTTCCTTAGATTGGTACCACGAACTGGTGCACGCTATGATCAAGGTGTGGACACCGTCCGATAACGTTTCGTGCACGTACTCGTTCGGATTCACCCACTGCCAACTACTGGGTGCAACCAGAATGTCGCCGCCTCTGACAGAAGGTACGTTGAATAGCAAAATGGGTCCAACGAGGACGGTTCGACAGCTTTAAAAGTCTACAGGGCCCGTCGCCAAAATTCGGACAAACTTAAATTTGAATTTCCTGTGCGCACATAACCTCAAAACATCCGAGCAGATAAGATCGAGTGCGCGTTACGTTGAGCGTTCGCGGACTGAAATTATTCGGTTCTTTGGATACTCGAGATTCAACCGTCTATAATGTTGCCGCTAAATATATTGATCCAGAGACATTCGAGAAAGGATCTGCCAATCCAACGAGAAAGAGCCATTCGAAAGAAAAGTCTGTAAGGACTCAAGCAGTTAGCGAAAAGGCTCAAGTCATCATCTCGGAGAATCTAGGGCTGTCACTGGCAAAATTGGCAAAAACATTAGGTGTTAGTGACACTACAGGATGTCCCAAAATTATTGCACAAGCGGGAGATGAGGGGTTCCTGAGGTTATTTCAAGTAACTTTTTCCTTTACAAAAATTTTCTCAGAGGCATCGTTCACGAGTTATTAACAAAAAACTCTGACCAATGAGAGGCGAGGTCAGCTGGCGCGAGGCGGCCGAGCCAACGAGCGGTCGAAGCCCAGTTCCGCCCATTGGCTCGGCCACCCCGCGCTAGCTGATCTCGCCTCTCATTGGTCAGCGTTCTGCGGTAATAACTCGTAAACGAAGCCGCGGATTGCATTTCCGCAAAGGAGAAAGTTGCTTCAAATAACCTCAGGAACCCCTCATTTCCCGCTTGAACAATAATTTTAGGACACCCTGTATAATGGGTCGTTTCAGGCCGAGGATAGAAGCCGTCATTGAAGCCAAAGGGGGCTACACAGAATAACCGTGTCCTAAAATGACATTATTAGTGATGTAATTTTTTTTTAATTCTCACAATTTGAAGAATAGACTTTTGTTTAAACGAATCGTTCCTTTTGTCCGGATTTTGGTGGAGCACCCTGTACACAGACAGCGATCGTGTCATTACCGGCAGAGACCCTCGGCAAACTTTACATCCCACACTGGTTTTCCGGTGATAATGTAATGCGACATGGTCTCCGGATCTCCGATGGACGTGAAGTAAGTTCTTCCGGAAGCTATCGCTAATTTCACTGTTTTAGACATATTTCGTTGAACGTGTAACAATTGAAAATGACGATCATACGGTTAGAACGTTTGCAGATAAATTCATCGGCTAAGGAAGCTTCGATCAACCAGGACGAACCTCTGAGCGTAACGCCAACTTCAGTCTCGTAAGTCCCAAAGTGTTTTTGGATGATGCAAGCAGTTTGCATGGCTTCTATCGCCAGATCGCGCATCATCATGTCGTTGCTCAGCTTCCACATTACAATGAACGCGTCGCCAGAGAACTTCAACACGTCGCCGTTGTGCGACAGTATTTCTTGCACCATGGCACCGATGTAGCTGTTCAACGTTTCGGTCAACTTCGATGGCCCACCTTTACCTGCTTTCGTGTATTTCTCAGCTAGATCCGTGAATCCTGTCGTCGCATACTGCTTCGGTGAGTCTCTTTATTTTCGTGCTTCTTCGTGCTTCTATTTTCAACGCGCAGTATTATTGTTATTGCGTTACCTGATACGTCGCCAAGCATCAGAGTGGTATAGTACATTCTTGTGTGATAGTTGTCGTAATAGTCCAGAATCTCGTCCGGGCACATCGAGGCGAATATTTTCGTGTGCTGCTCCAATTTTGACTCGAGTGCTCGTGACTTCCGACTGCCGTCGTGGTCATCTGAATTTTCTCGATCAGAATTCGATCGGTTACGATGCAGATGGAATAGATTTTGAATCGAAAACTGAGAAAAATACCCACCTAATTGCATCAATTTTTGGACACCTTGTCGCAAATCCCTGACCGAACCACTATAGTGAGGTATCATCGCACTCTGTTCTCATATAAATTTTTCTTTGTTTATTGTACGTTTTAATTAAAGGTCGCTCAAATGACGAGTGATCTTCTTTGGAATGGGAATGGAGTCGGATGATTAACCCGTAACGACGGACACGCGTTAATTAGTACACGGTGGCCCACAAAACTGTTCGTACACCTCTTAAAGCGCGATAACCTTTTTAAAACTGGACTAAGTGACTCGAATTTTTTTTTAGATGATAGCGGGACTAGCAGACGGTGGCCAAAATGCTTTTTTAAAATTTTGCTATCACTCGGAATGATAAAAAAAAAGAAAATAAAAAGCTCGCTTTTTAATTTTTTTATCCGAGGCTGTAACGGAAAATTAAAAAAATGCCTCTCGTAGATCTCGGAAACTTATATGCATGCTGAAAGGTATTTTTAAATTTTCGCTGTATGCTCAGATAAAAAAGTTAAAAAACGAGAAATTTTTACTTTTTTTTGTCATCCCAAGGAATAGTAGAATTAAAAAGAAGCATTTTAATAACCGTCCAGTATAGAGTCATAGTCTCTTTATCATCTAAAAGAAATTCAAGTCATTTAGTTGAGTTTTAAAAAAGTTATTACGTTTGATAAGGTGTACGAACATTTTTGCGGGCCACTGTAGATAGAATTAGCGAAGAGAATGTGCAGTAAAGAATCATTGGCAGAGTGAAAGAAGTTTTGACACAATGCTAGTCGATGGATCTGTGATTACGGGTTAAGAAACCATATTCAGAACGCAATATTTCCGTCTTATCAGATCAGGTTATAAACCAAACCGCGTCTGTACCTTGGCTAAAAAAAAATGTATTTAAAGAAAAATTCAGTACCATTCGATAATGCGAGCTCTGCATCTTGCCTGATTCGAGGTATGCAATATCGCTTCCGTAAATTGCTATATCGTAATTGTCTTTTCTGTAGCTTCGCACCCACGATTGAATAGCATTAAAGTTGGCCGCGTATGTTTCAGTATCGAAACATCAGAGCTTAGAGCAGTATAATCTAAGCATCGAAGCCCTTTGCTAAAAAGCCATGTTCCGTCTGAAGTGCGAAATTTTCACATGAATTTCATTAGATAATGAAATAATCGGATAAATACTCTGACTACGGCCGCTGCATAAATACGAAGATCTGATATAGGAAAAGCTGTCGTTTTATTACTCGAACCTAATTTATTTTTTATTGCATCTGATACTAGAAATTTATACAATAGCAGACAACAAATTAAGACGAAAAGAAAGAAACCGCTAAAACACATCGTGATTGCAAATCTACTTCTAACATTTCCTGCATTTATCTGTATATCATTGTTCAAATTGATTTCCGCTATGATATCAATTGCAGAACAAAAACGATCCTTAGCGCTCAAGCGATGGATGCAACGATCCATTTTTCCGGTTGTTTTTCGTAGTGTGCTTCTTTTTAATCGATCAGATTAAAGGCCAATCTTTGAAAATTTGGACAAAGCTGACCTCCAAGTTGTTTCCGATCTGTCGACAATAGTTACTAGTTCAGAAAATGTCCCCTCATGGTTACGAAGTCCTATCTACACGTCCTCTTTAGTTAAGTAGCTACTTCCGTGATTTCCCGGAAATGCCATATTTCGGGTTGCTCTAAATTTCGCTGTGCTAGTTCTACACCTATGTAATTTATTGCTGCGTCGATGCTAAGGATCGACGAAGTTGGTTAAGCGTGTGATGCGGAACGTGGCACGAATTCCCGGAAAACAACTCAAAATGGTCTGTTTGGATGTGAGTCAGGTAAGAAAAACCGCGGAGCTACAAGGCACGTGGTAGATACCAGGTACATGACCGTTGAATCGTGTCGTGCGGCCTCCGAATTGCCTTCGAATCGTGGCATGTGGCCTCTGAATTGCCTTTGAATCGTGTCACGTGGTCTCCGAAATGCTTTCAAATAGTGGCATGTGGCCTCCGAATTGCCATCGAATCGTGTCACGTGGCCTCCTAATTGCCTTCGAATCGTGTCACGTGGTCTCCGAAATGCTTTCAAATAGTGGCATGTGGCCTCCGAATTGCCATCGAATCGTGTCACGTGGTCTCCGAAATGCTTTCGAATCGTGGCATGTGGCCTCTGAATTGCCTTCGAATCGTGTCACGTGGCCTCCGAATTGCCTTCGAATCGTGGCAAAAAATTAGAAATAAAAAATTTAAGTCATCGTTTTTATTCTAGCATTACTATGTATTCGTATTACTATGTATTAATGTACAAGCATGCTGACCACTGCTTTTTTTGCCGACTGCCCCGAGTTTCTGTAAAAACGAGCCGCGAGGCTCAAAAAATCGCGATTTAGTATTCTCAGATCTGCCGGTTTCANGCCTTTGAATCGTGTCACGTGGTCTCCGAAATGCTTTCAAATAGTGGCATGTGGCCTCCGAATTGCCATCGAATCGTGTCACGTGGCCTCCTAATTGCCTTCGAATCGTGTCACGTGGTCTCCGAAATGCTTTCAAATAGTGGCATGTGGCCTCCGAATTGCCATCGAATCGTGTCACGTGGTCTCCGAAATGCTTTCGAATCGTGGCATGTGGCCTCTGAATTGCCTTCGAATCGTGTCACGTGGCCTCCGAATTGCCTTCGAATCGTGGCAAAAAATTAGAAATAAAAAATTTAAGTCATCGTTTTTATTCTAGCATTACTATGTATTCGTATTACTATGTATTAATGTACAAGCATGCTGACCACTGCTTTTTTTGCCGACTGCCCCGAGTTTCTGTAAAAACGAGCCGCGAGGCTCAAAAAATCGCGATTTAGTATTCTCAGATCTGCCGGTTTCAATTCCGACCCCCGAACATTTCTGGGAGAAATGACTGTACTTTGAAGCTCCGTGAATAAACTCCGATTAACCAAAGACACGCTACACGTGCTTTTTTAATATACGTATCCTAAGATAAATCATAATTGTTTTAACTTGTATACTAACGTGAAATCAACTGTGTAAACTTCGCAGCTCTAGGTTCGGCATTAAGAAAGTGAAACATGCATTGGTAGATTTCGAAATGAAACAAACCAAATATATGTATAACGGTTACACAATATATGCGTATATAACTGAAATTAAAATTAAAAAATATGTGGTCTTAAAATGAGACCACTACTGCAACAGTACTGCTGCAGTCGTCGAAGCGCGAATTGTTGCGAAGGTAGCCAGGACCAATTGACAATAAAATACACCGTGTTTCTCTTTAATTGGTGTGTTTATTTAACTGAATTGCGAGAGATCTATAAACCAGAGTTCCGGAGAAGGGTTGTCGGTGTTTAACAATGAATACACTTCTCGTGACAATAGACAATATGTGTTTATTTAATAGTTTCGCTATATAGATACTTATATGACTTGTCGCTCTAACAGATCGCTGCCTACAACGTGACGGCCGAATTTTATTGTGCCTGGCCCTACTATAGTTCCTTATTGTGCTTGAATCTATGATGGGTCGACGTCATCTTTGTTTTACTCTTAATTATTCGTGTATTTTCTCTCTCTCTCTCTCTCTCTCTCGCCTCTCCTCCTTCATACCGTCGGCTGACAGCTAACAAATTGGATTATACTCGGTATCGTATCCCGTTTCTCACGTTTTTCTCTCTATCCCTCTCACTCTCTCGTCGGCATCTTCTTCTTTATTCTTCCGTGAAGACGTCGCGACACGCGAAATCGATTTCTCGCGAAACGCAGGAATTCGTTCTTGCGCGGGTGCCTCGTTCGCTGTTCGGTTTATTTTTCTCGTTTTACTACGAAAGTAACGACAAACATTCTCCTCGGGGGGGGGCGAAAACGCGACACGCGCCATTATTGATTCCTTCTACCGCACGATCGATGAACACATTTGTCTCGCGTCGCGTGTACCTTTTGTCGCCAGAAACTTCGTCCGATCTTTTTGTTCTCGGACCGCGAGAGATTTCGGCGATGACACCGCTAGCCGACCGAGATGCAACACGGCTGTTCCAAAATTTTGCCACAGTTTCGATCGAGTTTTCAACCTCTACAACTACACACGCACAGATGCACACAACAAGCAGGCATACACGTTCGCGCGCACCAGGTTCGGAAATGAACGAAACTGTGAACACGTGCTCCCCTCGTGTTTCATCGAGCGACGCGCCGATCGATCGATCGATCGATCGAAATGATCAAAATCCAGCGGCGGAGGAAAAAGAAACGGTTGCTGGCCGACAATGGTACACACCTTATAAATTATCCAAGAATTAGAAAAAGTGAACAGAGGGGTGGCTCCCCGTCGAGAGGATTCGCGACCGGCTTTTTTTCTCGTCTCGCGCGAGACGCCCGGCCGTCGTTCGAAATTTGTTGCAACGCGATCCGAATCAAACATGGGATAAATCGTACAGAAAATATGTCTTTAGTGTCTCGCCAATGGTTTCCACGTTCTATCGCTCGCGATCTCCCAAAGCAGGAACGATTTCCTGGCAAATGAAAAACGCTCGCTCGGTCGCGGTAGCTTCTCATGTCTTCGGTCTGCGACGAACGCCGAGGTTCCGGTCCCTCGGATCTCGTGCGCGTGTGCTCGGCCGCGTTCACACAGAGATGCATATGTATACATTAATCGTTATAATTATACGCTCCACGCCCTCCGTTTTCCCGGTATAATGTACAATGGTTCGTTTCGCTCGACGAAGGGCACGCGACTTCCACGAGATCGGTCCCGTTTCCTCGCATTCGCTCCTCGATCCGGCCGATCTCTCGATTAACCAATTCTCTCTATCTCTCCCTCTCTCGCAAACGAACGCGACGGCGCGTTCGCACATAGTTCTCTTCGCTTTTCGTTTCTAGGACTTTCGGTATACTTCGTTGTGATGCTACGCGCCCTCGAATGCGAGGGTGACCTCGTTCTCGGTCGCAGACAGAAGAGATCGAATTCGGTCTCGATGCTTCCCGGGGCCGGTGGTGTCCGGTGACCAAGAAGCTCGGACAAACGGGAACGCGCCGCAAGAGACATTCGTTTCGCGTATTTGTTGCTTGTTTCCTCGTTTTCGCCTATTTGTTTACTTTTTCTTTTTTTTTCTTCTTCTTTGCTCGTTACGACAAACACGACTCGTTTATATAATGGCACACAGCATGGCAGTTGCAACAATGTACTTCAATAAAACTGTTTACTTGTTTTTTTATCTTTTGTTTGTTATCTTCATTTATAAGTTTACCTTAGCTTAATTGTTTTTTTTAACTTACTGCTAGCCTCTCGTCGCCTTCGTCCGCTGACTCCTCCGTCGCGACGTGTCCGTCGATCGGGGGCTGCTATCGCGGCCGCGGACCGACAAGAGAAATCGAAAGAAGAGACGCGTCGTCGCGCGCGCCGCGATAGGATCCCCGCGATCACGGCGATCGTTGCGCGAACAACGTCGCAACAAGACGGTTTAACTTGAAGCGTCGTGTAAGACTAGACTTTTAAACTTGCTCTCCGCTGTTTACATCGTTCCGTCCGTGTCTTTTAGCTTTCTCTCGCGCGCGGTTTTCTTGTTCTCTCTCTCTTTCTTTTTTTCTGGCGCACGCATGCACACGGATACGTATTATTATCCTTTTAGGTATGTACACGCGATCGAAAGTCGTATTGCGTCTTTAAAGCGAACGATCGAACTCGAAGCTTCGCCGTTTTCACATCGTCAACGTATCTCTACTTGCTTTAGCACTCTCTCTCTCGCGCGCGCTCTCTTTCTCTCTCTCTCTCTTCCGTTCTCTCATGCTCTCGTCTATTTTCTTGCTCACACACACATACGCATGTACACACATGTTCTCAAAAGTTCTCTCTGTTTCCCATGCTCTGTTACACTTAACGATTAAACACGTAGAAATTGGAGAATAAAAAAAGGGGGCAGGAGGAGCCACGTCGTCGCGGCGTCGGTTCCAGGAGGACTCGCGGCCCGATCGTTATATAGCGTTTCTCGATCGCGAATTTCCTTCGTCGAAAAGGGGACTTTAATCGCGGGAACGCCGCGAGGGTTGCCGAAAACCGCGGACCTCTCGCGTGTCGCGGAAAAACGGGGAAGAATTTGTTTCGCCGGGCGGCCGCGATTCCAGCGTGGACAGACGTGACGCCGCCACGGCCTTCCTTGCGCAATATTTCACATAAAAACGTTTTTCATCGTAGATACTAAACAGTCGAGTCGAAAAATAATATCGAGACGGCCTCGTTCACGCGCTCTCACCGTTCGAACTCGCCTTTCCTCGCCAAGCACATTCTCGCACTCCTGTGTTCCACGGAACAGTCTCAGCTTAGGATCACTCGAGTGTGGGACCGAACCATTGGATTTCCCGCGACCCTGTCTCTCGTTAGAATTTTCTCCCGTCCCGTTAATTCTCCTGTCACGTCGAAACGGCAACCGGTCGACCCTGTGCTCGACGAACGCAAAAACGGCCCCGGGAAAGTATGCAGTATTCTGACTGGTGGCGTCCAGCGATTTTCTCTTGACGCTTTGTCGCGACACGGATATGTACAACGAACGGAAAAAATCGACGAGCAACCGCAATGAAAAGTTCGGTAGAAAGATATATCGTAGCCGCCATTGGACTCGGACAGACCGGCCGGTCGAACGAACAGAATTTTAACGAGCAAAGGATCGAAACGGTTGCGCGTTTCTCCCTCGGGGCTATACTTCTCCCCGCTCGTCTTTCGCTTATTTAATGTATCCGACACATTCTCGAGGACAGACTATGTTAAATAGAACGAGACGCAACATCGAAGCATTTTTCTCGCATATCTCGCGCGGGCGATTTATTCTTTAAACAGTCTTAAAATCCAAGATAAGTGATCAATTGCTCGAAGCGATTATACATCCTACGGTTACAACCTTGTTTAATCATCTAATTAAGACGGGTACGATGATAAAAGTGTTGGAACGATTGTTTTATTACTGATTGGAAGTGTGGATAATCGAGCGTGTTCGGACAATAAAGAGTGCCAGTAGTTAGAAGATTCGTAAGATTCGAAAAAACTTTCTCTCAGGCCCTCTCAATCCTCGAGCGATCGAAAGAAAGACTTTTCTTTTTTCTTTTTCCCTTTTTTTTTGTTTTGTTTTGTTTTCTTTTGTTTCTCCGTTTCCGTTTCTTTTCATTTTTTTGTCGTTTTCTCGCTTTTCGTTCTTTTTATGTTCTTTGTTTACCACCGGCGCAACACTCACACACGAAACACAGTCACTCCTTCATTTTAACAATTGTGTCGATTAACGATTAATATTAATTTTTCATCTGCTTAGCTATATAATATGTATATAATGTAACACGATGATATAGGCTTGATATGACGGTGGTACACGTTTACTAAACCGTTTCAAGTGTTTTTTTTTTCTTATTCTTCCTACCTCCCTCGCCACTATGCTCCTCTCTTAGGACATGTCCCTTCCCCGCCTCTCTCTCTCTCCAGATCCAGTGATCAACAATTTAAACGAATCACCTCGTCGCGATCGACGTGAGAACGGACACTCTTCGTTTCCCAAAATTATACGCCCCGAGCCGCCTAATCGTTCCAGTCGGGTTACGGGGATACATTAGAAGCCAGAGGTAAACGAAGTAAACCAACTTCGTACGGTAGATTGCGGTGTCTTTGATTATCGTGTGGTGTCACGTGGTATTACGTGGTTCGATTGTCTGGAGTCGTTTTCGTCTTTAATCTGTCAAACGGGTGTCAACGACTGAGCTCGAAATTATAGTAGAGAGATTCGTCGACTAATCAAAATCTGGAAGAACAATCTGAAATTGTAAATTGTATTACATATTTTGCTTAAGAGTAAATACAAGTGTGCTTTGTAATTTTGTTAAAGATCTAGTTAGCTGCCATTCCGTTGATCCGAATATTAAAGGACATCATTTTAATCATTTGAATGAACGCTGGCGCATGTGTTGTGTTTGCCGAAACTAAAATTTTACTGAAATTGAACAAAATACGAAGCTACAAGTTACGCGCGTTTGTAACGATATTTGAATAAAACACACGGTGTACATAGTTTCTAAATACTTGAACCGACGGCGTCAAAAGAAATCGTTTCAATGACAAACGGTTGACAACAGCGCATCTTCGATTAGAGAGAATTCGCGAAACGATAGCAAGAACGTAAATTATTGAATTTAAATTATTTGATATTTGAATTATTTTTCCAAGAAAAGCAAATTGCAGTAAGCTCATATCACAATGCAATTAAAAGCAAGAATAAAACATTTGGCAAAGAAGTCGACTAAAAAGTGGTCCGTTCGTCCCGATTAACAAGTTAAACGTCCGCGAAGGTGCACGCCGAAGAGTGTCAACATCCTCAAGTTCTTCTAGCCAATTCCGACAGCCGGTTCCCGTGGACTTCGTTCGCTTTCCCCCTCCTATTCGCTGTACCGCCCTGACGCATCGCAGCGCACCGGAAGTCTTTAACGCCGGCATAGCAATCGACCCTAGCGTTTTCATTAGCGCTCGACGGCGACCGCGAGGTTTGTTCCGTCGACGACGGCCTGGATCGCGGGAAGAGTCGACGGCGGAGCATCTCCACGACCGAACGCAGGCCGGTGACGGGACTCTGTATTTCGTTCAGCCCACGCAGGACAGGCGAAGCAAGGCAAGACGAGGCGCGTTCGACGACCCGTGTCGTTCCCGGCGATCGTCTGTCCTGCGCGCGGATCCGATGCCCTTCGATTCCAGCGTAAAATCTAGCTCCTACAATAGGTAGAGTCTCGCACGTGATATCAAGTCCTCCGCGGGAGTAAGAGGTCTCCTCGTTCGCTGGTTCCGGAGCCCGAGCGGACAAAAGTGTCCGCGCGCCAGCGACGGGACACAGAACGCGTTTTCCGTTTCGTTCGCGAATTCCAGGGAGCATTCTTTCCGCGTTTCCATTATCTCCTCAAAGTATTAACGATAAAATTTTACACTTTCAACACGTCATTTAATTCTCCGTACGGCAGACACGACGACATAATGCATAGATTCATTTATATACATATAATATGTATACAGCGAGCGAGCCGGGCCGAAGCGCGTCCTGGCACTTTCTCTCTCTCTCTCTCTCGAACAAAAACAAAATGGCGTCGCGGCGACAGCTTCCTCGCGCGTAGAGATCAGTCCACTCGGAGGACGAGGCGGCGCGCTTCGCCCGCGTCGCTCACGGGCCTGTTCAATTGCGCGACGGTGGACCGGGACACGTTCGACCGGAAGTTTCGAAGCTGTCCGCCCAACGGAACGACGCCCGCGATTCTTGCACGGACAACGAGACTGTCTTCACCGTCTCGCAGCGTTTCGTCGCGCGCCCGTCCCGCTATTGGGAACCATGCGCTTCGATCTGGTCGCACGTTAGACAAGTCCGATCATCGGTCGACGTTGTCTGGGTCCTTCCTTCTCGCCCGGATTTTTAGAATTGCCCATCGATGTATCGTCCGCGATCGCGAAACGCGTGAGAAAATTGACGAGCCTGAACCCGGACCCAGGCATCGTCTTCCCAGCGATCGTCGAAAACGTCCGGCGTTCAAGGGTCGTTTCTCTCGAAGAGATCCGTTCAGCGAGATATCATCTATGTATACACGTTAGTACAGGCGTGTCTCTCTAGACTAGCTGCACAGGTTTGTCCGAGCATCGGAGGCAATCACTCGTTCCGGCGGAGAGAAGACGGAGAGACTTATCTTATACACGTTCTCTCTTCGAATAGATCATGGACAGAAACGCGACTGGATAATGATCATAATTATGGATTCGTGTGAGCACCTTATTCAAACGGATCGGGCCTAGCGCTTACGACGGCCCTGCTGCCAGCTTCTTCTTTTTCCTTTGTCGGCCTCCGACGCTCGGCTCGGAGCTGCGCGCGCACAGGAATGGGTACAGAGCCGGAAGCGGACACAGGTGTGTGGGACCACGACTACCGGCGGGCCTATCGAAGAAACGTCGACTATTTACAAATGGGGCTCGTCTCGCTACGATCTCGCTTAGTGCCTCGTGTTTTATGATCCTGATATATTCCCCGCTGTCTCGGTGGGTCGGCCGTTCTCGCTGCACGCCGACCATCCACGCTCGTGGACCGATCCTACGCGATCATTCCCGACACGCCACGAACACCGTCGCGCTCGCCCGTGCTTCCCACGATTCACTCGGTACGGCCGATCTATCCGTTTCCCGAAGGTGATCGCGACGACGATCGTCCCCGAGAATCGTCCACGGAGAGGTGCGCGCGCACGGTCTCTCGAGACCGTTTCGTAAAGCGGGCAGCGTGTTTCACGCGGTCGCGCGTCCATCCTCGCCGGGAAATCGTCGATCGTCTTTCCCGTTCGCGTCTGCGACGATCGTTCCGACGGCCGGCTCGGATGCGCTCGCGACGACGCACGAAGAGAACTCGAATTTCCCCATTGTGTCTCCGACGCACTCTCGACGAACGAAAAAGGAAAAGCAGAGAGAGCCGCGTCCGCGTTAGTCGCCGAGCCTCTCGTTCCCGGCGCGCTGTCCGAACAATAATGGCTCCTCGGACGGTGAAACGAGAACGCGTCGACGAGATGGCGCTCCGTCGAGACACGGCCGCGGCCGAAGACTTTAGGCGCGCGCGCGGTCTCCGTTAGTAGAAACAACATCGTAACCGTGTGTCCACACCGAAATCTACCGTAAACGTTCTCGTCGTTTAAACGTACTATATTTGCCAACAGTTTCCATAAATATCGTTCTAGCGCGAAAGGTCCGTAACAACATTATAAACATCTACACGGCTCTGTCAACGTAAGTGATCGAGGCTTGAGAAACTATATGGAAGTCGTACCCGACGGTTGGGTCAACGGTCTCTATACACTCCGTAATAATCGTAGCTCGAGTAAATACGAACGGCGAGTTCACGCCCCTAGCGATTATGCTACAACTGTGTACACTGGCGTTTATTAGCGTTACCTGCGTGTTTTTATCCTTTGTTTATACTTTTTTTATATATATATATACAGAACGGCGACGCGCCGGCACGCGTACCTCGCGACGTTGCCATTTAATTCGATGAAGATCGTTCTTGCCTGCCCGCCGCGCCCCGCGAACGGCTTCTATACAAAACCGGACGATATAACAATCTCACGACGACGAAGACTCAGAATTCAGAGGCGGATCGACGAATGCTTCGACTTGAAATGCGTCGGCTTCGCGTGGGTTCTCTTCGTGAGTCTCGTCCGCGCATCGCGGGGGCCCGTCGAGCGACGCGCCGGACGCGCGAAACGTTCGTTTTATTGTCATCTTGATAGCTAAACCAGCACCATGACTCGAGTTTGCCTTTCCTTTCCGCTGATCCTCTCGGCGCTCTCTCTCTCTCTTTTTGTCTCTTTCGTTTTCTTTCTCCCATAAATTCCGGAAAACGCCATCGTGAGGATTTTCTACTATTTCCCTCTTCCTCGAACTCGTCCCCCAATTCTCTCGGTCCCTTCGTAGCCTAGAACTTAGCGCTCGTTGTACAACGACGATCTTTGGACCCGTGACGAGAAATCCAGAAAAAAGGGGAGGGGGGAGTGTTTTCGCGGGGGCGAACATCGACGAAGCGTTCGCGGATTACGACTTGCGGCTGTGCGCGGCTGTTTTATTTTTCTCTCGGCTGCGGTTCCCTTTCGTTTGTTTTTCTTTTCTGATCGAATCACTCGGATCGCGGTCGATGGGGGGATGAAAGTTGATCGGCAACGGGAGGGAGTCGATGGCAGGGTAACACCGTTGGATCTCGATATATAGTTTCCGTGATACGCGTACGTACGTTCTCAGTCGCAACAAAACCGCCACCCTCGCGTCGTGTTCACGATCTCCACCGCGTTCTCGCGTTTCCTCGTTCGAAACCGGGCCCCGTTCTCGTTCCATTCCGAGGCACGAAACTCGACCGGCAAACGGTAACGATCAACGTTCGGTTCCTCGCCAGAAACAGAGCGTCTCCGGAGGACTCGGAAACATGCAACCAACTGGTCTACTGAAAAAACTACCTAAGATTCTATCGTAACAAGTATACTGGATCATCCGTCGACGCTCCGTTTCTCGTTCATCCCGCCCGGTCATCGAACAGTGCCACGGCAGACCGTCGAGTTTCGTAGGGCCAAAGCCCTCTCGCCGATCATGGGATTAGTCTAGCGAGCGTTTCTACGCGACGACAAAATTCGTTTCGCCGGTGTACGGAAACCGTGAACGCGTCGTGCTCGGAACCAGCTGTCCACACGTTCCGTCGCATGGCAGCCCACGCCTCTACCGCTGTTCTTCTCTAATCGTACGAGGGTTCTGTCGACAAGATCGATGATGTCTCTTCTGAGAAGTCCTCGTGGAATGGCTAGCCCCGTTTACGATCTCATTTAAACGAGGCCTGCCACCGCCCCGCGGATATTTGATCCTCTCCTCCGTTGGTCTCTTGGAATGTCGCAAGGGCGACGTGCTCGGATGATGATAGTGTGATCGGAATGGCGGGTGACGATGAAAACGAATGATGACCGCGAACGATACTTTTGGTTTGTTTGTTTGTTTTTTTTTGGTTTTTTTTTGGTTTTTTTTTTTGATGAAGTACGAGAGTGATTTTGGTGAACGACACGTAGGTAGAATGCTGTCTGTCGGTACCGTCGCTGTTGGAGTCGATGAGGTATCTTTCTGTTCGCTGTCGCTCTCGTTTTTTGTTTTTTTTTTGTTTTTGCTAAGACTCTAGAAATGCTCTAGACTGCCTCTACGGTTGCGTGTGTGTGTGCACATGACAACATCGAAGAAACGAAGAGAGACCGATATTTGCTTTCTACACCGTAATTGACCGTAGCTGGCCTCGAGTACTTATCTGCTATCCTGCTGATCGATCTTCGGCTGGTCTCGCCTGCCTTTCGACTCCGATCCCTTCGATGTCTTCCCTTTCCTGGAAAAAATGATCGGAGCGTCGTCCCGGCTGGACAATTACAAGATCATTCGGGGAAAGATGCCCAGGGTTTTCCTAGAAACCGAACGAATTGGAACAACGGCGACGCGAAATATGACCAACAAAAATCGCAGCCGTCTAAATGATGTTTACAGTTCACAGTCACCGGATGAATTTTGACCAAGCATTTTTGCCCGGCATCTTTCCTCTAATTACCTCGCTGTTTGCTTTGAGTATACTTGATGCCCAACTCACGATTGCTCGCAGCCGTCGCCGTTCCTCGTGGCCGGTCTCGGGGAACTCGAATCGCTACGACGATCATTCAAACTGTCTTCTTCGTTGTCGGACGTTTCCAGAACTCTCGTGAGCAAATGCGGCGTCCCTTCCGAGCCGGATAAACTAAACTCCGCCGACAACTCGATGCTTTTCTCATCCTGCGACGTTAATGTTTCGATCCGATGATAATTTAGCGCGTGAAAATCATCTGTGCAAGAATCGTGTCTACTGTCTCTTATCATTAACGAGCGGGGTACCTCTTTCTTTAGCGTGTCCAACAGCCTCTTTCTGTCCGCCTTCAGTTCCTCAGCTTGTTTGGACTGCACGGTGTTCTTGAACCCGGACAGCTCCAGCAGAGCCAGGTGTGCGTCTTTCTCGGACACGGCAGCCTTCAAAGCTTCACGTCTGCGATACAATGTGATTTTACAGGTGGATCTTTCCGGGAGGCCATCGCTCGGGCTACTCACTTTACTTGCCGCAGATCTTTCAGCTGCGCGGTTCTTTCCTCGGCGAGCTTCTCGAAGCTGGTCTCGTACTTGTACAGCTTGGAAAGAAGCGGCTGGCAGGTGATGCATTTCAACGCTGAAGCCGACTGCATCGACGCGATTCTCTGCTGCAATTTTGCTACCTGAACGAACCGTGAAAAGTTGTTAGATCGTTCACAGGGTGTACAGGGTTTGCACTTCAAGACCATCCTCCTGCAAATTCTAAAATATTAGAAGACCGCGCGACCTAGAGATTACACATTTGGAGTGCAAACCCTGCGCCAGATAAGCCCGACAGTGTTCCGAGGATTAATCCTGCTCACTTTTTGCAAGGCTTCCTTCTTCATCATCTCTTCATTCTTCCATTTCTTCTCGCTGTCGCTGGTGATGACGACGCTCTCGCGGAGGGCTTCGCTCAGTTCCTCGATCCTGCTCCTCTTCTCCATCAAATCTTTAGACATATGCCGTTCCTTGTCCTCTTTCTCTTTGATTATGTTTACCATTTCCTCGATCTGCTCGAGGTCTATCCTCTCGCTGAACGCTCGCTCCAGAGAATCCACCTCGTCCTCGAGCTGCTGGATCCTCTCGTCCCTGACGCGGATCTCCTCCTTCAGGACACCGATGTCGTCGTACTCGCTGAGCTCCTTCTTCAGGCCTGCCACCTCCTTCCTCAGCTTCGTTATCTCGTCCTTGTTCTCGACGATCTGCTGCTCGTGTGCCTGGATCTTGTTGTCCTTCTCGGAGATAGCGTGCTCCATCTTCTTCATCTTCTGCTCCTTCTCGCGCAGCTCACCATTCCCGTCCATGATCAGGCGGTTGCAGGGCAAATCGTCCGGGGCCATCGTCGTCCATCTATCCTGGACGTTTCGGTGATTCTTCTGTGCTTCTTTCCCTGCAAATTCACTCGATTAGATATCCCGAACAATCTGCGAGTACAGACTACGCTAGTTCGAAGTGTCTACGGTTATTCTATTATCGTTCGTCGCTCTCACCTCGATAGCTTTCCTCAACTTTACACAGTTCTCTCTCCAAACACCCGACTCGGCTCTGCAGCTGCTCGATCTTGCATTCCCGGTCCTCCAGCTTCATCTTCAGCCCGTCCACGTTGTGCTTCCTGACGTACTCCTCGAGCTGCGTGACCATCTCCTCCAGCTCGATGACCCTCTCCTGATCGATCCTCAGCTCTCTGTTCTCACCGCTCTTCTGAATCCACCTCTCCAGCTCCTGGATCCGTCTGTTCCCGTCGGTCACTTGGCAACGAAGCTCGTGCAGCTCTTTCACGTCAGGATTCTGCTTAAGGAAGTCCTCGAACTCAGCCACGGTGTACTCCAGCTCCTCGATCCTTCTGCTCTTCCTTTCCACCATGATCTCTAGATCTCGCAAGCTCTCGGTATCGGCGTGCTCCCTGAGGAAGTTCTCCAAAGACTCCATCTCTTGCTCGAGCTCGACGATCCGCCTGTTCTTCGCCTCGATTTCCTGCTTCCAGGACTCGCAGCCCTCCTTCGTTCTCTCATCGTTCTCCTTCGACCTTTTCAGTCTGGTTGGCTGGCTGTCCTCCGTCATCAGGCTCTTCAAGGACTCGAGCTCGTTCTCCAGCTGTGCTATCCGTTTATCCTTCGCCTCCAGCTCTCTTCTCCGCGAGTCCTTCTCCTCGTTCGCTTTGGGACTCTCCTTCCTCCAGGCGTCTTGGTCCTCGAGGCTCTCGTTCCTCGCGTCTTTGATCTTCTTGGAGCAGGTATGCTCCCTCAGCAGCTTCTCCAGGGAGGACGCCTTCAGCTCCAGCACCGTGATCTGCTTGTCCCTGGCCTCGAGCTCCTTCTTCCTGGTGTCCTCTATGTGTTTCGCGATCTCCGGGTCCTGTGTGCGTGCGTCGGTGCGCGTGGACGTGGTGTAGGCGGTCGTGGTGCGTGCGCGGAGGCAACGTGGGTGGAAACGTAACGAAAAACGTGAACGGAAAGAACGG